ATTTTTTTCTACCCTGTCTTCTAATTCAATGATCTGGTCCTCAGCTTCCTCTATTCTGCTGTTTAGTCCTTCCAATGTGTTCTTTATTTCTGCTATGTCATTCTTCATTTCTTCTTCATGGTTTTTAATTTCCAATTGGTTGATTTTCAATGTTTCTATATCTTTACTCATGATGTTGATGTCCTTACTCATGCTGTTGAGCTACCTCAAGATCATGGCTCTGAATTGTAGCTCTGTAAACTTGCTTAACTGGGTTTCATTTATCTCATCTTTGGTGGAGGTCTCTTGTTCTTTCATTTGGAATTTGTTTCTTTGTTTCACCATTTTGGCTATGACATTGGGTTTTGGAGCCTGCCAAATTTTCCCTGTGGGTTTTGGTGTTCTGCTGTTTGTGGCTCCCTGTATTGGGTTTGGATAAGTGAGGAAGACCCATGTTAAACACCCCTGTCTAATCTTACTTTCCTGGGTAGAATTGCAAGACCAGGAAAGGTTCAGTTATCCTCTAGCTTTTTTCCTGGAGGCTATTAGTTGGGGTTACCTGAAGAGCCTTGGGTTCTCAGTTGAATGGAAAAACTCCCTCAGGTGTTCAGTGTTAAGAGGATTTCCCAAGTGCGGGGCAGATGCTGGTTCTTAATGGGCCTCAATTTGCATTTCAATGGCCCACCAGGTGGGGTTGAATCTCTGTGGGAGGGGCTGTGACCTCTCCCCAGAGCCCTGGGAAGGAGAAAGATGACCACCATCCTGTGTGGCCGCAACTCAGCAAAAGCTCTGAGTGCCCTCTAAATCACAGGTGTCCCCATACAGTTCCAGCCCAGTCTGCCCTCCCTCTGCCGGAGTCCAAGGTGAATGGCTGTGGCTATTTTAGCGTCTGTCCCGGCGCTCTGCACTGTGGAATGGGCTTGGGAGTTTAACCCCGAGGGCGCTGCTCACAGCTAAGACCGCTGCTGTCTGCGGGCTCCCAGCCCTCCTCTCACGCCTCTGCAATCCTACCAGGATCCATCAGTGTCCCTGGTTATATGGTCCTCGCAAGCTGCTTTTCTGTTGCCTTTTCCCGATGATTTGTCTTTATTTTCATTGTAATTCCAGTTTGGTCCTGGGAGATGGTCTGTGTAGCTTCCATTCATCCCACCGCCATTTTGGAATCTCTTTTGCTCATTTTTTAATTGGATAGTTCATTTTCTTACTGTTGAGCTTTAAGAGTTCTTTGTATATTTTGGAAAACACTCCTTTATCAGATGTATTTTACAAACATTTTTTCCCAGTCTGTTGCTTTCTTTTAATTCTCTTAATTGTGCTGTTGCAGAACAAAAGTGTTAAGCCTTAACAAAATCCTGTTAATCAATTTTAATTCTATGGATCATGCTTTGGTGTTGTATCTAAGTCATCACAACCTCTAGATTTCCTAAATTTCTCCTATCTTATCTTCTAGAACTTTATAGTTTTGTATTTTACATTTAGGTCTATGATCCACTTTAATTTTTTTGAAGGGTATAAGGTCAGTATCTAGATTCATTTCTGTGCATGTGGGTATCCATTTGGTTCAGTACCATCTGTCTCTTCTGTACTTCATTTTAATATTTTCTGGTAACCTATCTTCTATAGTTATTTAATTCTCTTCAGCTGAATCTATTCTTCTGCTAAACCCTAACGCTACGTTTTTAATTTTGGTTTGGGGTTTGTCAGGGGGAGAATTTCTATTGGGTTATTTTCCAAATCTGTTCTGTCACGTTTTATAAATTTTAGTCCTCTTCAACATTTTAAAATCTTATTTTTTGCCTTTTTTTTTTTTTTTTTTTTTTTGCGGGGGGGGGGGGGGGGGTACGTGCCCCTAGTGGAAACCAAACCCAGGACTCTCTGGTCTGCAGGCTGACGCTCCAACCGCTGAGCCAAACCAGCCAGGGCTATTTTGCCTTTTTGTATACAATAAGCATAGTTATGTTAAAGCTTATGCTTAACAATCTGAACATCTGAAACATCTGTGGGTCTATTTCTACTTATTTCTGCTAGTTTTTGTGCATGTTGCCATATATTGTCACGCAGCACCTATTTATCTTTGACTGTGAGCTGAACATTGTATATTTATGTTTTGCTTTATTTTATTGATTCCAGAGATGGAGAGAGGGAGGAAGAGAGAGAGAGAGAGAGAGAGAGAGAGAGAGAGAAACATTGATGTGAAAGAGATAGATGTACTGATTGCCTCCTACACATGCCACAAACTAGGTTTGTGCCCTGACTGGGAATCAAATCTGTGACCTTCCCATGCATGGGACAACACTCCAACCAACTGAGCCACACCGGCCAGGGCTGAACATTGTATTTTTAAAACCATTTATGGAATCATCAGAGACTCAGGATTACACTTGTTTCTGCCAAGTGCCTTTGGGTACCTGTATTCTAAGATCAATTTGATCCAATTCTAATGCTTGAGATTTCCTAGATCACACAAAGATCTTGCAACCACACAGCAATGCATGTAAGGACTGGTTTACTTCTGTTTCACCTTTATACCCCACCCAAGGCTGCATCTCAATCCACTTTGCCAGCCCAAAGTATAAGTAGTTTACTAAGGACTGTAGCTCTGGCAGACCCTGAACTCCAACACCTTTGTCCCCGCAGGTCCCCTAGCCCATGCAAGGCTGTCAGAAACAATGCTCTGCCTTTTAGCTGCTTTTATCCAAAAGGCATGCACCCAAACACCAGGTTAAATTAACCTCTTTAAGGTTTACCTTCTCTTGGACCTGGTAATTACCTGGATCTGGTAATACTTCACTAATTTGGTATTTCTCCAGTGCCTGTAAGCATAGGTTTTTAATATTTTGTCAAATCTTAGCTGTCCTCAGCTATGCAGAAGTCAGAATAGGACCTTGCATCCTATGAATTCCACAAATATTTTACCTCTTGTAGCCTTTAACACAACTGACTTTATATTACACTATGCATACGTTCTCTACCCCACCTCCATGAGAATGCTAAGATCAGGTCTGATTCATGCAGTGCTTGTCTCCTGCCCAGAATAATTATTTGTTAAATTGAACCAACAGTCTTTTCCGATATTTTGCTACTTATTCACATCAAAATCTCATTGTTTTCAATCAATAAACTTTTGTTCTTGTATAACCAACCATTATTAAAAGTACCTTTCCCTCTCCCATTTGCTTTCAGTATTTACAGCGTCTGCAAGAAAAGGCCTTATCTATTATAGTGTCTTTTTAAACAATTTAGCGCTCTTGTGTCACTTATCTGATTTCGAGATGATCTTTATACTTTCCAAATGTTCTTTATGGCAAAACACATATGCACGCACACACAGATGTGATGATTTAACATTCATTTTATTTCAAAAATTTCATGACACTTCTTAGGAGCTATCAATGGGATGGATACCTAGTGGAACCACTAAGCTATATTCACGGGATAGAAAAGTACCAGAATGTTTCTATGTATCAAGAATAAGTGATTTTTTGTGCCTTTTTTTTTTTTTTTTTTTTTTTTTTTTTTTTTTAGGGCTGGAGAGCACCTGTGGGTCTTGAACCACCCTCGCAAGCAAGAGTGGTTAGCAAGCTGAAAGCTCAACTCAAAGGGACCGCTGAGCTAAAGCCAGCCCTTTTGTGCCTCTTTTCATTTCAGTGTTTCTCCTTCACTAAGTAGCCACATATGGAATTGCTTAGGATTTCACTGCCTTTTTCTGTGGGGAAAGACTTAAATATATCACAAGGTTGTCAGTCTGTTCAGAAACCTCTAGGCACCTTAAGGGGAACTCACATCTGACTGAATAGCAGAAACACTATTTTGGTTGCAAATTTTAGGGACTATACCCATATCAATACTTGCTCAGAGAATTTCCTAATCCCCCAAATTTGGCCAGGATGCCAGTGCTTACACTTCTATAACAGCATACATAGTTCCTCTTTTTTAACAGATCTCATAGCGTTTGTCCAATGTGTGCCTTCCTTGCTGGAGTTGAAGCTCTTAATGCCAAAGACAATTCCTGTATTGCCTTCAATAAACATAAAGGGTATCATTTAGCATTTTTGTGGGTTTCCATACTCTAAAAGCTAAATTATATTGTCCCTCATAACCCCAGAGTCAAGTACGCCTAATCTATTCTGGATTCCTTACCCTCACCCAGCACATCGTAGATTCTGACCATAGAATGTGTATGGGTGTAGCCTGTCTTGATTACATCTCAGACATGAAAGCTATAACCAGCATCTTTGGTCAGGGGCTAGTGGAATTTCTCCTTCCTTTTGGCACGAAGTGTCCCTTTGATACCCAATAAAATGTTCACTGGTAACAAAACCAGCCTTCAATTATTCAGGAGTTGGTCATTCAGATCCCCTGCTTCTCATATTCTTTTTCCCCATCTACTCTCTAACTTTTGGGCTTCTCACTGATAAACATGCCATCCAAGGCTGGCCAGAGCAAGGGGGATGGCTCCAATCAGTGGACTTTGTGATTGGCTAGAAATTTCAGTGGAGCACGCAGAGTTGGTGGATGGCTGAAACTCTATGTAAAAGTTTGGAGAACTTTTTTAGTGATATCGATTATTCTAAGGAAGACACAGAAAAGATAACTGGTCCAGTCAATATTCACAGCTAACACTACAACACTATGCTGTTACTATTTCGTCCTTCTATTTTCTAGTTGGTGATAGCAGACAGTCCCGGCTCCTCCATCTACTCAATCTGGGAAGTAGGACCTGCTACTTCATCTCTCTGAGCCTCATGTCATCATTAATAAAATAGAAATAGTAACCTGATAGGACCAGAGCATTAATATCAGGAACAAAATGTATGAAACTGCTTTGTAAATGGAGAGAAGCAGTCTAATTTTAGATCATTACCAACATTAACTGCTTGTTCACAATTTAAGTTTTACATTAGAAAGCTGATTTTTCTTCTCAAGGGGACAGGTGTTCCACATGGGTATTTTAATGGATAAATTTCTGTATTATTATAATCTCTGCCAGTATGCATGCCAAATTCCATTACTGTGCTTACCTTGGGAGGTTTCCTTAATGATGGAAACAAAACATGTCAACAGCAGAAGTAGCGAGGGTTGTCCACACAGCAGCCACATCAGAAGGTAGCAATGAAAAAGAAAAAACACAAGAGAAATTCAGCATCTTGATAACACAATCTGAAAGATATTGTGACTTCAATTAGATCAGAGGCCAAATTCACTTCACTGCTCGAAGTGCTAAATTCTTACATTTGCTCAAAAATAGAGTACAGGCATAATGAATTTCATTCCTGGCTTAACAGAACAAGTCCAGCTGTTCAGAGATGTTTTGAATGGTTTCTAAAAGATGCTCACAGAAGAGCATCAAGATCAAGAAAGATGCCGCGATACACTGCATGTGGTCAAATACTTTTTGATCAATTTTCATAATTAAATTTTTCTTTAATTGGTATTAAAATAGAGGTGTATTTCCTTTGATTTTAAAACCATGTTCTGGATGACAATTTTCACCTTTCACCTCTGAACAGAAATTTAGATCCTCCTGCATCACACACGCACTTTTTTAATGTTCAGTTTTGCATGTTAATAATTCAAAAATGACTGAAACTGCACCTGGAGAAGACTCTGAAAAGGAAATCATTTTGAAAACAACAAACCACTAGGTAGAATTGTTTTGTAAATGTTTTCCTTGTGTACCAAGTAAAGGTGCTGAACTATAATTATATAGTATGTGATCCTATGATAGTTCTTGGCCTTCCAGATGTGGTTGTTCTTAACGAGCTTCTAATATCATCAACTCATTAATGGTAGAATTATTATTAAATAGATATGGGTGAGTGTTTTCCATGGCTTTAATCCTTCTTCACAGGGGAGAAAATCATGAGGATAAGAAAATAGATTTTCCCGGGTGGAGGGCATGGAAAACCAAGGGTACAGGCATAAAAACCATGGTGCCCTTTCTCCATCATAGGGTTCCACAGAGCTCGGAGGGCCCCAATAAAACCCAGAGCTCAGCAGCAAGGAAAGACTGTCCATGGATTCTAGTCAGGTAGGCAACTCTAAACTTTTAAATCTAGGGAAGGAAAACCCTGACATTCCTATGGTGACGAAATGAAAGTTCACCTTCTTGAAATTCTATGAATTAGCTAAAAGGAAATGAGCCCTGTCATTACTTCAGACAGTAGGCGCAGTGAGAATGTGGTTTTTGTCTTCAGGCTTTAGAGGGATCTCTATCTAGAGAAGCGGGTATCTCTGGCTGCTTCCAAGCAAGTCTCAACATTGTGTGTCTACCCTTTAAAACAAGGTAAATATTTATAGTTGTTATAATAAAAATGCATGAGTGTTTTTAATTCTAAGAAAGCCCTGGATCTACTCTGTGCACAAAGCTTGAGGTTTCTGCCAGGAAAATTTCCTTAAGTGGAACACGGCTCTGGAAGGTGTCGGTTCTGAGCAGGTAGTACAATATTTCACTAAGCTGTCTCTTTTATTTCTTTATTTCTTTTTTATTTTTTATCCTTACCCGAGGACACTTTTCCATATTTTGTTCAGATAAAGTGGGAGGGGGAGAGAGAGAGAAACATCGACGTGAAAGGGACACATTGAGTGGTTGCCACCCGCACAAGCCAATCAGGGCTGGGGACCAACTGCAACCAAGGTACGTGCCCTCAGCGGAACTGAATCCAGGTCTCTCTGGACCACAGGCTGACTCTCTAACCGCTGAATCAAACTGGCCAGGGTGCTGTCTCTTATTTTTAAAAGCCATTTAAAGCAACACTTTATCTAACAAAGGAAAGTCAAGTCACTTGGATTACTGTAAGGCATGGAGCAAATTTGTAAAATATACCTTTCACATTTAGGCTACGATGAACTAAGTAGCCTCACGGGGGTGGAGCATGCTAACAGGAGCCCCTGGGATCTCTCCGGAGTTCTCCTGTGTTTTCTTTATGCCACGACTGTATGATAATCATCACCAGCATCAAAGAAAAAGTGCTGGTCTGTAGCTAGTAGTACATTTACCTCCTTAGCTGTCCAACAGGAAAGCTACCCTTTTTGTACTAACATTCCATTGTGGTTTTCTTTAGTCTTCTTAAGAAACCAATCCTACTTCAGCATCTTAAGTATTTGAAAAGTGTATCCCTTTTACTTAGAAAGATGGCACATTATACGAGAATGCCAATATAATTCTGCTACCATCCTTTGTGCTTCTGACTCTTTGTTAAGAATAAATGGATAACGGGCAGCGGGAGAAAGGGGGAAACCACTAACTCTTCATCTGCTGCTACCCAATTACTAGGCATTTAGTTTAGAACAAGGATCCTTACTATAAAAGATAAAGGAAGTCACTTAGGGTATCACAACAGTATTTCATTAATTGCTAAACTCTTCTTGAGGTGTGAGTTAGGTCATAAGCAACTAAGTCATCTAATCCAGAACCACAGTTTAGTGCCCCAATCCCCAGAGGTTATATATCATGCTGTTGTAATTGTGAAAAAAATTTTTTCCAATACAAGTAATACTGATACTATAATCAAATATAGTATGCTATCCTTTGGAAAAAACGAATGTGATGTTATAGTGTAAAGATAAAAGTTTTATACATATATAAAAAAGGATGAATATAAACATCAGAAACATAATCAATATTAAATGTATAATTTTAGTTGTGAGCTTTTGTTGATTATATCAATAAAGTCTTATTTAAAAAAAAAAAAAAAAAAGAGTTCTAACTCTCATTTAGATCCAGCCTATTGCTGAGATACCTGTACTACAGAAAAGAGGTAGTATGCCTGGCTCAGCAAACACCCAATGAACTACAAAGAACAGACTGAGCTGACCTGTAAACATGGGCATGGCTGCGGACTCTTTAGAAAACAGAGCATTCCATGGACTTGGCCAAAGGCCTGTATACTCCTGACCACTCTCCACTGCCCACCTTCTCATACATCCTCAAAAAAAGTCCTTTTTCATTATGCGAACCCCTGTAACTTATCAGACATTGTGTGTATGTGTGTGTCTCTGTGTGTGTGTATTCCAAAGAAATAAACTGAACACAACTTGACATTTTAGAAAACAGCAAGAATAATGCTTCTAGTGCCCAGGATTTGGAGAAAAAAGAAGAAGTCCAGTTCTATACTAACAGTACCTCTATTCTGCAAAACACCAAAGCCTCTTCCCGTCTCTCCCAGGACAAGGAGTCAATGGATCTCTTCAAGTCACCAAGATGACGTGTATTCACCACCAACTCATGTAATTCCCATGCTTTCATCCCACTTTTGTCTTCCTGTTCTGCCTGATCAAATGTTCCTACTCTCCAAGACCCAGCTCAAGCCCTGGCCAGCGTGGCTCAGTTGGTTGAACGTCATGCCATGCACCGAAGGGTTGCTGGTTCAATTCCAAGTCAGGGCACATATTCAGGTTGCAGAACCCAGTCAGGGTGCATGTGGGAGGCAACCGATTGGTGTTTCTCTCTCACATCAATATTTCTCTCTCTCTCACTTTCTCCCTTCCACTCTAAAAAAATAATTAATTAAAAAAAAAAAAAAAAAAGACCAGCTCAAAGCTCAATTTTCTCAGTACCTCATCAATTGTTTAAGATCGCCTAGGCCTTCACCTCTCTGATACTCCAGTGCTCCTACAGTCAACCAAGGAGCTTAGCACTGACTGGCACACATAAAGTCAGTAACTTCTGTGTGTGCATCAGTCATTTTGTCTGTACAGTATTTGAATCTCATGTATCCTTAAGATTTCAATCCCTTGAAAGCAGAGACCATCCCGCACACTACTTTTCATGACCTCTCTTTCCAATCCCACATACTCATACAGGACTGAAAACATTAAAAGAACTGAGAAGTACTTTTATTTACATTAGTGAGTTAAAATAATCCAGATGTGAGGATTCCATTCGATCACCAACTCAGTCTCATGATCCCACAATTTGGGGGGCAAGATTGTTTGTATTTAATAGCAGTGAAGACCCTGGAGAGTGTTAGAAATTGCAGACTATTTCCAATGACTTACTTAAAAATAATTATTTCTCTAGACCAGCATTTCACACAGAGAAGTCCAATGGGATGTTAATAAGGGTGAAACCCTCAAAGGTTTCTGAAGTCCACTAAATTCAGAAATACATGTTCAGTTTTGAGAGACTAGAGAGTTATACACACACACACTTGGAAATAAGACTGTAAAGATAAGTTGGACCTACTTTGGGTCAGGTCTTGAAACAAAAGTCAGTAGGTAGTACAGACCTGGAAAGTTTAACAGGAGAGTGAAATAAAGAAAGCAGTGTAAACAGTAACTCACAACAACCTTATATAGCTGGAGTTCTTTCCCCACTTCTCACACTGCACGATTTCTGGGCCAAGGAGCCTTTTGTCCATTATTTACAGCCTACTGAATATAGTCACCCTTTAGAATTTAGATGGCCAGCGGCCCCACTGTGCACAAGCCTCAATACCAGCCAGAGCTTCAAGAGACATGAATAATCAGTGTCTGCTTCTAAACACAAATTCCGCTTCCATGTATTTTATCGGTGATTGTTGGAAAATGCCACAACCTATATCTGAAAGACATGTATACTTAACTGACATTTGACACCTAAAGATTAGTCTATGGACATGACCTTTAGCCCTTGATGACCCAGCTTAGAGAACTAAATCCTGGGTCACCTAAATTGTCCAAGAACTCTGTTAACCAACAAGTATTTACTGAGTACCGATTCCCACACTGCACATTATAGGTGCTTTGAGGGATATTTTAGATCAGTGGTTCTCAACCTTCCTAATGCCGCAAGCCTTTAATCCAGTTCCTCATGTTGTGGTGACCCCCAACCATAAAATTATTTTTGTTGTTACTTCATAACTGTAATTTTGCTACTGTTATATCTTAGGCAACCCCTGTGAAAGGGTCGTTCGATCCCCAAAGGGGTCATGACCCACAGGTTGAAAACCACTGTAGAGGAATGGAGCATAGTCTCTGAACACATGTTTAACATGTTGTGAGAGAAATAGGTGCACACATGAATAGCTGTTAGACAGACAGTGACAAGAGTC